CGCAGCCCTGGCCGGCCTCCAGAGCCCGTTTCCCTGCCCTGGGGAGCGGTAGGGGGGCCCCGAAGACCCCTTAACTGTGTCTCCGCCCGGGGGATGCCCCGCCCGGCTGGTGGTGGCCGCAGGCGCCTGCTTGTTGCATGCCAGCAGTTGCCTCCAGTCACCTCCCTGATGTAGAGCCCGACTGCCAGCAGGCCGTTGTGCCATGGCAGACGCCGCTGCTCCGCTTGTTTGGGGCATTTCTAGGTACTCCCCTAAAAGCAGCCGTGCCCGCTGACTTGAACACTAACCCTGGGGAATCAGCTTGCTCACTACCTGTAGTCACGTACAGTATTAACTGCAGAAACTTAAGATTGAAAACTTATTGCTTGGACAGGAAGAACCATAAAAGAAATTCCTCTTTCTCCAGGTGTGAGAGCAAGGGAGCTTGCACGTTTCCTTAAATTTGCAAAGGTTTTTTTGGAAGGGATAGGTGCAGTCAGGTTGTGGCGCAGTTTTCATTGCGTCACGGCATTTCCTCACATTAGTCTGTTTGGCACCATGTTGCTACTCAAGTTTCTTGCCCGAGATGGCTTATGCTTGCCAAACTCACTTGTCTATTTTAAGGGGTTTGAAATATTTTAAAATGTGGGAAGGCTGCTGTGTTTGTGCAGTTTGCACATGGAGTACATAAAATGTGCAGCGTGCTGACTTTCTACTGAAGTTTTAGGAGCTGTGCCCTTTTGTGGTCACACAGCTCTGTGTGTGATGCTGTACTCTGATGATTCTAGGTTTCAAGGTTCAATATGATGTTGCTCTATTTAACTGTAATTAGTGTAATTTACATCTGTATGAATCAGAGTAATGCGCTTGTCCTCAGTACACAGTCTGTCCCTGCCTTGTCTCTTGTATTTTATATGCGGGACCATAAAAAAGCTGAGTGTCTTGGGAGGATAGCAGATTAGCACATAGGTGCAGTCAGGGATGTGCCATCTTGGAGTGGCTCCATCCTGCAGGAAGGAAGAAGAGTGTAAGGATAACTTCTGAGTCACTGAAAAGATACCTAATCCAAGTGACACTTCTTATTATCTCCCTGGTCTGGGAGTGGTGCCCCAATTTCTTTGAGTGCTTTAATTGCATGTATCCATACTTTCCAGAGTTGCTAGTTCCTTTCTAACTTTGAACTCCCAAGAACTTAACTTCTAACATTTCTTTCTGGGTCTTCCTTGCTGCTGTAAAGTATGAGAATTCTGTGGCAGCATGAGGATCTTGTGAGTGGTTTAGTTGTGCTGTTTCTAAAAATAACGTTAGTGCCATGGTGATTTTCTGCAGTGTGCGTTTTGGTAATGAAATCTGATTATACCATATAAATCACCTGTGCATGCCCTGTGAAATGCTGACCTGCTGCCACCCGTGGGTGCCGAATCCTTTACCTCTGGCAAAAGTCTCTCATCCACCAGAACGTTCTGTGCTTACGCCTGCATGCCCGTCTCGGTTTGCATTCCCTTTTCTTCCCGGGCATGTTATTCAATCCAGCCTGACATTCTCCAGGCTACGAGGATGCACCATAAAACAAAATGCGTTTTTACTTCCCAGCAGATAGGTTCTTTGCTTGCAACGCTACGGGAGCGGCAGAGAGGAACCGTTCTGCAGAGACCGGAGCTGCTCTGTCGGAGGGAAGCACTGTCTGGATGCTGCTTAACAATCCTGTCTTTCTGCTGAAGCCCTTGTCTGTCAGTATTGTTCCTCAGCCCTTCGCTTCCTCTGCCTTCTCTTCTGCAGCGCAGGAAGCGGCTGGTTAGATGAATAGAGTTTGTAAAGCATTGTTAGTATTGCAAAGCATCCCCTTCAGCAGTGTAAAAAGCGTCTGTTAAGAACGAGGATGCGGAGTTCAAAACTCTTAAGTTCCAGTTAATCATGTGGGAACGGTCCTTGGAGAGCTGGCTAGAAAACTTCCGCATTGTGTAATTTTTAGGAAAATCAAATAAGCTTCCTGTTTCCCAGGCTGTTCTATTAATAAGTCCTTCTTTTTTCTGCCCCATCCTTAGCTAATAATGGCACCTTGACACTTGGGGTAACTAATGTGAAGTCATGCTCAAGAAAAGTGCTTAAACGTCAAGATGAAAACCATTTTGATGTGTCGGGCATGGTGTTTGGAGACTGATTTAGGAATAAATCAAATTGATTGCTTGTGATTAGTAAATTACTTTGTGACTCCGGTGCGTTTTATTTTTCCTTCCATGCAACAGTACATTTGATATGGGAGTTACCCTCTAATGTCTGGGAGGCAGATGGAGAAAATATTAAACTCGTAATGTGAGGTTATCGCCAATCTGAGCTGTGAGTTGCTAATCTCTTTGCGTCAGTAGGCTAAAAGTCCTTGTGGTAACAATAATAGTTTTGGGCTGCAACTTGAAAAGAAAATGAGCAATATTTTGGCTCCTTCAGTGCTTGAGAGTCCTTACTGAGATAAAACCCTTTGTAGCATTCTTGGAAAATTGCTGCCTTCTGTTTCAGAGGTGGCTGCCTGTGGTGGGGGAGAGAAGGGGTTGTACTTAGATGTCCTTTGAGGTGGAATTTGCTTATGTAAACGATGCATTTTTTTTTTAACCCGTGCTGTTATCTTTAAACCATTTGACAAATACAGTGTGCCAAATCAGTGAGCCTTCTCAAGAAACGCTTGTTTGCACTGGCTAGCATGAAGCAATTCACATACTTCCCTTTGCTTGAGCAGTAAAGTGATAACCATGTGAAGAATTTTTTAAAGGCTTTCTTGTTCTACTGTGTAAAGGGATAGTCTTTTACTGCTAAATTATATCTACCTCTGGAATAGTCAAGCTCTTGTTATTACTACTTTCTGACTTCCCTCATAAAAATATTTATATAGACTTAACAGAACTGGAAATATGCTTTTCAATGGAAATATGGGTAGTTTAACTGGATCTATGTTTTCTACTCTGTATCTGGAGATGTTGTATTGTTGAAAGGATGCATAATGGTAGTATTTGTGTATTTGCTAATATAACTGTTTTCCTACTGATCCCGATTAACTGCAGGGCTGGAGGCTTTTCTAAAACCTCATCTCTGCTGCTGAAGTTCCAGACAGTTTGAACTGATGGAATTCATCCCAGCTGCCTAGAGACAAACTGAAGTGGTGAACTTTGTCTGCAGCTGCACCTTTTATGGTGGTGCTGAGCATCTTCTGTTGGACTAATTCTCTCAGCTTTAAGAAACACAGCAAGCGTAACCCTTGTCTCTTTTCAGTTACGAGTGTTCAGTTGCCTCTGTTGTGACGGTGATGTCCTCCTTGGCCTTGGGATACTTTCTTCTCCTGAGTTCATGTATGTGACTGCCTGTGCTGCCTTGGTATCAGCTTCCCCACGTGAAACTACAACAGCTCCCATTCTGCTGAAATCTTCACATCTGCTTTCATCACCTCTTTCTTAGCCTGGTATCTCCTCTTTGATCTCCAAGTTCTGACTGTCCAAACTCCCACACAAGTTCTGTTGTTCACTTTTTCACGTGTACCGAAGAAGGGTAACTGCACTGCTGCAGCCGGGCTCTGCAGCCTTCTGTGTGCTTCAGGCCTCTCCTCTGAACGGCTTTGCTTTTTAAGTACATCTCTGGACTCTTCCAGCTGTCAGAGAACGCTGTGTCTGTGCTGTTCTGGGATAGCTGATCAGTTAGCTCTTTCGCAAGTGACTTCATGTATGGATTGAGAAACACTTTCTATTGTAGCAGTTGCAATCATAAAAAAGTTTAATCTTGGT